GAACAGGGAACTTCGTGCCAACCCAAGTGAGACTACTCTTGTAGTCTCTTGTTATGCCTTGTTTCTATGGTTTGTGAATTTCCATCAGAAATGAGAGGAACCATTATTAGGCTAGGCTCTCTTTCCTAACTTGGTCAAACGCAGCCATTTCTCTTAATATGCAACCTACTGCCAACTGGTCTTACAATTGCAGAAATGAAAATAAATAAATGAAATAGTTGCCCCTTGCAAGAATGTTGGAAATCCCTGCTTTCAACCAAAATAAGAAAAATACAGAAGATAGATGTTTAGGCTTCAAGAAGTTGTTAAAGGACAGAGGAGAAGGGGAGTTGGTGGTTCATGGTAGTTCTTCATGCTTTAAAATCATTCTAGCAAATATTCAACTATTCCATTTAACTTGAGGCTATTCTTGCTTAGATTGCATTAATAATTTCTCCCTTAAACAGCGGGTACCATTGACATTTAAATTATTATAGGACCACCAGGTTTGTGCCCGTTGCATGGTAACAGGCCACTACACCAAAACAGCAGGAGTTGTAGCAGGGAAAGAGTTTAATGATCTAATGGCAGCCAAGTGAAGAGGTGGGAGGGAACCTCAAATCTGCCTCCCTGAGGAGTTTTGGACTGGATATTTTAAGGGAATTTTGGTGAGTAGGGGGCTGAGGAGCTGGGGGTTGCTGACTAGTCAGGAAGTGAGGGGTGAAGTCACAGGACAGGGAGGTGAAGAAACAGCATTCCTGGGCTGAGTTGGTTCCTCAGAGAGGGTCTTTAGACTGGCTGCATCAGTGGCCCTATTGGAATGCAGGATCTGGAAAATATCTCAAATGGAAAACTTGAGCTTTCTTAATGTAAAAGATGTTATCTATAGAAGCTAAGATCTTGTGATGGGGCTATGTGACTTTTAAGCAGGAAGCAGCTATAAAGAAGTAGGCTATAGGGCAATCTGGTTAATACTTAGCTATGCTTCTACTAAAAACCTAGGAATTTAGTTGCATTCATTTTATGAGGACAGTTTCAAAATAATCCTTATAGGGATGATTCCTGCCTTCCCTCTGGCTGCTGTTTGTTATATTCTCCTTCAGGGAGCTTGGGAAAAGAGGTTTTCATTTTGTTTCACCTCTTGAAGGTTTTGAAAGAACTGGAAAGAGAGACGGACAGACATAATATCCACTGAGCACCAGTTATGTACTTGGTTCTTTGTATAAATGACTTCAGTGAATTCCTCATAATAATACTGCAATGTAAATCTTTTTATTGCCATTATACAGTTGGGTATACTAAGTCCCACACATTGTGCTAAATTTATTCAAGCCATTCACTATGAGTGGCAGAGCTGTGAAATGAGCCACTTCCTCATACCACTGCCCTGTACTATCGCCCCTGACACTGTCAGTCCCAGTCCTAGACTTCCCTGGTTGTCTACGTCATGTGGGAAAACTGGAGGGGACTCATGTTCTACAGCAGTCACCTTGGGTAGCAGATTTACTGCTGCTGACTCTGGAAATCATTGCTGATCCTAATCCCAAGCTACAAAACTGCTCAGGTCAGAGGGAAACACTAGAAAAGCTATGAATCAGCAACACCAAGTCCCAGAGCTGGATCATTTTTTTTTTTTTTTTCCCACTTTGGAGATAAGGGGCCCTGAGGCCCAGAGAGAGACTGATGTATACAGGGTCACACAAGGAGTTAAGCTCAGTTTAGAATCCAGATCTTCTAAGGCTGGTGCTTCAAGGCACACCCCAATGACCACACCCAGAGTTCCCTCTTCCACACAGCTCCAGTTTCCCATCTCCGAGCCTCCAGTGAGGTACGGATGTAGCCTTTGAGGGCATGCTAAGAAAACATAATTCCGAACACCGCACTGCTTCAGCATATGATGTCATCCAGTTAAGGAACCTCAACATTCATGGGGCAAGCAACCTCAATGACGAGATACATCCAGTGCCGAGATCAGGGTAAGCAGTGCAAGTCCTAGCACACGGCCCCTGGGTTGTTGTGATTTATCTATTGTCTAAAAGATGATCCAGAAGTTGGGCACTACTTCTAAATCACCAGGTTTTTCATTGTAAGTGACAACCTTTGCATTTTATTAGCGTGGTCTACTTTTTAATAAGCCTTTACAGGACCAATATATCACAAAAACATCATTAAAACCATCCTCTCTACTGGTTATAAATTGCCTTGATGGTGCTGTGACTACATCTTCCAGAGCACCTTTGACAGAATGAGCCTTAGGATCCAGGCATGTCATTGTCACAGCAGAAGGATGACATTGCAGCCCAGCCTGACTCTCCTCTGTGGGGAAAACACATATGGGGGTATCAGAAAAAGAGACAGGCAACTGTCTGGGGTGCCACTGGTGTGTCTGTCGCTGACGAGCTAGCTGTTAGACTTTGGAAACCCACTGAACTTATCTGGGCCTCTTTTTTATCTGTGAAATGAAATCTTCTTTGTCTAGCTCACAAGGTTACCATGAAGAGCAAACGAGACAACGTATATGAAAGCATTTTGGGAGCAGGTTAGCTCTTCAGAAAGCAGACTAAGACAGATTTTAGAGTGCAGTATGTTTATTGGAGAGTGCCCTTGGGATCACACGTCTGGAAGAGAAGGAGGCAATGCTGAACAGAAGGAGAAATGTGGTAATTATGCAAGCCGGTGACAACCTCAGCCACCCCCATGATAAGATCTAGAGCTAACATGGCCTGTCAGCATTGTCTCAACTTTTGCTGAAATGGCCAAGCCTTTACAGCTGGCATCAATTAGTCATTGGATGTCATTCGCCTCAGGAAGGGATGCGAGCTCAGGCTAGGTGGCTCTCTGTGGGCCGAGGTATGATAGGCAAAGGCTGTCTGCTGATTGAATTCCTAGCAGCTGGGGCAAAATTCTTCCCTTGGAAAGAGAACTTGGTAGTGTATCACAGTGTCTACCATGGTCTACGCCTTGCACTGTCCAAATCCACATCTTCATATACATTGAGGGAGCAGCTCTTCCAGGAGTCTAAGGATCTTCTTTTTCTAGGAGGAAACTTGAAAAAGGAGGAGAAAAGGACAAACTATAGTCCCTGCTACTGCAACTGGTCTTAGGCCCACAGTAGATACTTTTGCTCACTGTCCTCCACTGTCTGTTTCAGGTTCTTCTCATCTCTGCTAGCACCTCTGCTTATCTCAGTTGCTGTCCTGGGTATGGTGACCCAGACCCTCAAGCTTGATGGGTTTGAACACCTGGTCCCAGTGCCCTTCTCAGGCCAGGCTTGTGTTACCTGCCCATTTCTTTACGTCATTAGGCTAGCAAATACCAAGAGGCACCCAAGTGGATCTCCCAGGCACCAAACATATTCATGCCTACCCCTATTGTGTAAAAGCAGCTATCTAATAAGGGTTAGTCCCTAGACACAAAAATTCCATAATGAGCAGATGGAAGCTGCAGCTTATTCCATGCACTTATTGTACTTTAGCTGTGTTGTCTGGCTGAAGTGCTCCCCTGTGGGAGCACTAAACCCACATAGCCCAATGTTGTGAAGATGAGAAGCATACATTTCCTAAGTGGGTCGTTAGGAGTGATGGTAACTGGAGCACCAGACCACTTCTATCCTTTGATTCACATGCCTGTGTATTCTGACTATTGGAGACAGAGCCCCATGTACAGATCTTTGGTTCAAGGTATCTACTGTGTCCTGAAGATTGGCACAGCATCCTTGTAAAGTACCACTTCTGAGCTGGTGCTTCAGCTGTGTCTTCTGCAGGCTGTTTCAGTACTTTGTCAGGCCAGCTGTATCTGAATGGTGAGATATGTTGCATGACCAGTGCATTTCATGGTCTACATTCTCTCACTGTCTTCGCTGTAGAGGGTCCCATGGTCTGATTCTCAGATATATAGCACACCATGCTGGTGGGTCAGACACTCTGTAAGCCCCTGGATAGTGCTTTTTATTGAGTCCCCAGGGGAAAGAAAGGTACACTCATACCTGACACTGGGTCTATTTTTGTCCAAATGAATCTCTGCCATTTCCTAGAGTTAAGGGGTCTAATGCAGTCAGCTTGCCACCAAGTAGCCTATTCATTTCCTCAAGGAAAGGAACTGTAGCACTGGACTTAGCATTGGTCTCAATTTTTGGTAGGTTGACATTCAGTGGCAATAGTTCCTAGGCTACCTTTTGTAAATGGAAAGCTGTGCTTTTGGAATACAAACAGTCTCCATCCTTGCTATTATTGCCACTTTGCTCAACTGCCCATCATACCAAAACCAGGGTGGCCAAAAACAGAGGTGGCTGACATAAACTAGCCAAGTCATTTTGTCTACTTGGTTATTTACTGTCTCTACTGCTGTAGAAACTCTCTGATGGGCATTAATGTGCAATATAAAGATTTTCACACTCTAAATCTACTCCCAGGCATATGTGCATGCCAGCCCCAGGTCTTCTAATCTTTCCCTTCCAAATCCATCACCAGCCACCCAAGTTATTAACTATTGTACTTTCTGTGAGTCTATATATTCAGACTTCAGACTACTTCTCTTCCAACATTAGTCTTCTTCTTCCTCCACTATCCATTGCATATTCCTTTCCCCTCAGCTAGCTCTCCTACTGCTCTTGCTTGCCTATGTGCTATGCTGACCTAAATCCTCAAGCAGGAAGTGTCTTAGCACCTGATTTTGGAGCCCTTCTCAGGGCAGAGAAGAGTGGATGATCAGGTGTACTTCCAAAAGCTTTGCCTTTAGGAATGTTTTCTTCACAACTTTTTTCCAAGGCCAACCCGAGTGAAGATGTAGTAAAGCCATCCACTTTCAACTTTGACACACGGAATAAGCCAACCCATTTATCTGTATTACATAAGTCCTTTTCTCCTCAGTCAGCTGCTCATAAGGGACCTCTCCTGCCCCATACAGCTGTGACTGTGAGCTGACAGGGTGATGCTAATGCAACGGAGGTGGATGATACTGAAGTCTGGGCTCCATGCAGCTGACTTACATCTTCCCTTTTTCCTGCTTGTGCTTTATTCCAGATGTCACTCCCATCTCACCGTGTGTTGTTGCTGGGCCAGCCTGACTTTATTGACTTGTTGGACCTGACAGAACCCAGTTCATGGTAGGCCATTCTGGATGCATAGTCATTTAATGTTCCATGGTCAAATGCCTTGTATCTGTTAGGGATCAATAGCATGCCAGAAGTTGTTTTTCAAAAAGTGGGTAATTCCCCAGTGCAAATAGCATGGGCTCATTCCAGAAGCTTAGGCATCTGTATTGCTATTCTCCCCTTTGGGCTTGCCATAAATTCCATAAGACATCTTTTCCCACCACTGGTACCTTTAATACAGTAAGATCTTCAGGATGTTTGCACTGCATCATGAACTGGCTACTCAAGATCCTTTACTGCATTGGGCTACCTACAAATGAGCAGCCTTCTTTAGGTGGTCTGAAGCGGTATTGGTGTGGGTTATGCTACCTTCAGAACATGAAGAGTTCTAACAGGCACTGTTTTTCCTTCTTTGTAGTAGGAAAAGCGTGTGAAATAATTTGACTTTTACTTTTGATGGGATGTCTCAGCATGCCCACAATCACTGGAACTTTCACAATTTTAGTAATGTTGTCAAAATGATCTTTGTAGGACGTATCTAAATGCTGGAGCACATGTGTCTTACTAAGGCCTCCAAAGTGCTAGCCTCTTCTTGTTCAATTAGCCTAATAAAAATGATGTTACCAAAGTACTGGATTAATGCAACATTCTGTGGGATGTCCAGATGGTTGAGATCTTTTCAAACTATAATATGACAGATGATGGGAAGAATTAACATAACCCTAGAACAAAACTATAAGTGTATATAAGTGTACGTTAGTGTTTATTTCATGTGAATTCAAACTGTTACTGGTATTGTATTTAATATAGAAAGAAGGTGCCAGTGACTTTTGCATGGAAAAAAAAAAAGAAAGAAGAGAATGCATTTGTAAAATCTTTGCCGTATATCATGTACCTAAGGTCATGTTAATTTGCAGAGATATCACATCTGGCTCAGCAGCTACAATTGGAGATACTATTTAGTTGTGTTTGTGGAAGCCTCTTGTCAGCTTCTAGTATGCATCTGTTTTTTTCAGGGCCTACACTGGTAAATTCAATGAGGATATGATGGGTACCACTATTCCTGCATCTTTTAGATCTTAAGGGTAGTGCTAAATAATACACCCTAGTATAGAACATTATTTTTATTTATTATCTTCTCAAAGAGAGTGGATAGGGGAGAGGTTTCAAAGATTTATATTTGGCCTTTCCTTTAAGGTAAGGGCTCATGAGCCAAAGGACCCACTGTGGGAGCTGTGTTGAACACAAGCTAAGTGTAATACAATTATACATTTGCAGAGTGGGTAAAAGACTGAACATATGGACTTGAGGACCTAATGGAACCTCTGTGAGCTGAACTTCTAGCAGGATTCAATTTATTAACTTTCTCCTGTAACAGAGGGGACATGTTGATACTTCAGGTCTCCAGCCACTTTGACCACATTGATCTGAATGTTTGTTTCCCTCCAAAATTCCTATGCTGAAACTTAACCCCCAAAGTGATGATATTAAGAGGTGGGGTCTTTGGGGGGTGATTAGGTCGTGAGGGCAGAGCCCTCATGAATGGAATTAGTGCCCTTATAAAAGAGGTCTGATGGAGCTTTTTTGCTCCTTCCACCATATGAGGACACAGCAAGAAGTTGCCATCTATGAGGAACAGACCCACATCAGACACCAAATCTGCTGGTGCTTTGACCTTGGACTTCCCAGTCTCCAGAATTGTGAACAATACATTTCTATTGTTTATAAATTATCAAGTCTGTGGTATTTTTTTTTATAGTAGCCTAATGTACTAGGACACCAAACTTACATCCAACAATTCTAAAAATGTTTGGATCTCTTCCTGCCCTAGTGTTCAGTTACCTGGGTAAATGGCTAAGGTTTTTTTGGAAAAGACTGGAGAATAATTGTTATGCATACTTGTTATCATGTAGTAAATAGAGTCCTTCTTCTTATGGAATTAAGCAATGGATTCTAGACTCAAAAACTATATCAAATTTAGAAACTGGGCAAGGGATTGTGACATTTTATTGAGGTGACTGCACTCAGACTTCTGATTATCTATCCCTGATTTCTTCTGATGGTGGAAGTTGAATAGTGTCCCCATTGGCTGCCTGACTATTTTGCCTGTAGAGATGCTGTATTCTGACCTTCTTCCTCATTGCGATGACACATCCATTTGTCTTCCAACTGCAAACACTGCCTCCTGACTTCTATTGTTTGGAGTCCTGACGTCTCCGTTGCTTCAGTGAGCCTAGTTTTGTAATGACTTCACCTACCAACATCTCAGGTCTGTAGACAAGGGCACCCCTGAGCTGTTAGGTGGTGCCCGTGCCCCTCTTGCAGGGGCATATCTATGGCCTTGCCAACTGGTGTGTCCTTCTGGGTTTCCTGTGGTGCACAATCATTTGGTGGGTTGTCTGGCTTTACGTAATACACCTGCTCCAGCTTGTCCATTTCCCTCTGCCTTTCATTCCCTTCCTCCACCAATCACATGAGAATTCAATGTTTGAACCTCCCTCAGAATGAGCCAGCACTTCTTCTGAGTTTCCGGAGTCTTCTAGCAGCAAATTCACACTATCTCCTGGGGTTCTTGTCAGGGTATTAAATCCTGCTTCTCAGGAGAGCACTCCCAAATCTTTAAACTCTCCCTAATTCAATTTAATGTTCTTGTCCTTTTGATCAAATACCTACCTCAAAATCCAATTCCATATCCTTTTTTGGATCCTGCCTTATGTGGCTTCTAGGTTTTAAAACTCCTTTGAAGTGTAGTCCCTTTCCTCCCTTACCAGGTCCAGGGTGTACCCAGTTGGGCTTTGCTGTGATTAACCCCAGAGGGCTGGAGAAGAGGCAGGCCCTGGGAGGAGGAGCACGTTATCTTGCATGAAAAAGGCCTCTTCATGGTCTTTAAGCAAGGAGGTGGTGCTAGATGTTAATAGAGAATGCTAGGCCACATCTGCAGACTCAGGGAGTTTAGGGGAACTTAAGTATTCAAGATTTGCAGAGCCACCAATGCAGATATTTCTATCCCATATGTCAGGGTCCCAGGGTTTCCCAACCAGGGTCCTGACTGTGAAATAGCAGCCCAGCCTTTGTTCAGAATTTAACCTTCTTTGGAGGTTGGCTCCTCTTATAATTAAGTTCTGAGCCTGGTCCTAAGCTTTCTCTGCCCTTTCATTGCAGAAGAGAGTGTCTTCATGTGTCAGCAAGGTAGCCCTCTCATTTCACATTTGGCTTTCCATTGCCTGTTAATTGCTCTCAGCCTTTTGTTATCTTTTTCCAGAATGTCATCCAAGCTGAGTTTAGTATTAATCATTGAAATCTATTGTCACTATAGTTACTTTCCCCTCACAGTTTTCAAAAGCCTGGTACATTGCACCAGTCCATGAACTCCCTTCTACCTGTATAACATCCTCGTTTACCTCCAAGTGAATTATTTCTATTTCCCAGACACCGTGCGACATGCTTTACATGTTGCCTGTTTCAGTTTTCCCATCAACAACGTGAAGTTCGAAAGTGGGATCTTCCAAGTTCTAGGTTAAACCGAGGCTCTTTATTTTTATTTTAGACACAAAGAAGCAGGAAGACCCACCAGAACTGTCGTGCTATTACTGACATACAGACTCTGAAGTCAGTTCTCGCTTCATTTCTTGGAAAAATGTAGTTACGTCTGTAGAGCATAAATCTGTAAAAACACAAAATTAATACATCAGATCCATCTTCAAAGTATCCACATTTGGGAATTGGGAAACTACAGTAAGTATTTTTCCTGCAACAAATCAGAGACTAAGCCAGACACTGAAGCCCCAGAATGCACCTGTGTTCGACAGTCCTATCTGGGGAGTAACCCCGCGTGATCTACTGCACCGGCTCTTTCAGAGAGAAGCCTCAGAAGGGAGGAGAAGAATGTCTGCGGGTTTGTCTAGGGAAAAATAAAAGAAATAATTGTTCTAAAAAAAGGAGAAATTGGTATTTCACGGGCAGCCCAAGTTGCACAGGAACACTTTAAACTTCTGTGGCTGGTATCCTTCATCTGAAAATCACCAACTTGTTTAAAAATCCCTCATCTGGGGGTTTGGCTGCCTGCAATCATGCAACCTGAAACTGAGTGTGTCTAGGTACCCATATGTCCACAGCAGGGGGCCCCAGGGTACTCTGGTGGGCTGAAGCCTGAATTCCTGTCACCAGCATATATATAGGAAGCAGCTAAACAAGAGTCCATTTTGGACATGAGTTATCAGCCATTAAGAAGAAGGAGCCATGTCAAAATGAGGTCATGATTTCAGTGGGCCTTGGGGCTTATGGTAAAGGGAGCATTTCTGTCCCAGACATGGCACTTGACCACACTGTACATTGTCCCCAATCCTGGCTCTCGTAAGATAGAGATAACATGACATTGTCTAAGAACAATACAGGTGGTCATGGTGCACAGTTTTGGTGTGTGTGTGTGTCTGTGGGTAATAAATCTAAAACCCTCCCTCCAGACTGAGTTTGGTTTAATGTTTTTCTGTATGCACCTACATACAGTATTTAAATTCTCTCTCCTTTTATTTAACTGTGAAATCATACTCTTTCATTGGTAAGCATTTTGGCATGTTGCAGGGATAAACAGCATTGTGGAAATAAACCTGACTTATGTTGTAGTTAGAATATTAAAGCAGCTTGGAGAGAGGCTCAGCTGCACCTGGCATGGTGGGTGGCAGTGTGGACTGGGAGTCAAGGACCTGAGGGCTTTTCCTCATGCTACCACTGCACCAGTGTGTGACTTTAGCCAAGTCATTTGTCTTCCCTGGGTTTCTGTGTCTTTATTGGCAAAATGAACAGAATTGTAGGTGGTCTACAAGATAGATCTCTTTCTATTTCAGCAGATTCTGATCACCATCATTTTGCAGAAATCTTTTATTTACCTGCAAATGTTTCCCTTCAGGAATAAATCATCTATGGTCCTGCTCCCATAAATTCACAGTCTAATTCAGGAGGGTCAGCAGCAGTGAGGAGCGTGACATAAACACGTATGGAAAGGAAACAGCACAATAGCTGTTGAGGGTATGGAACACCGAGGACAGAGTGGTTAATGCTGTGTGGTGGAGGGGCGGATCATGCCATGATTTGCCAGACAAAATAACATTTGCCTGGATCATAGGCAGGGAGTTCACCAATTAAGAAGAGTGGGGTGAGAAAAGATCATTCGAGGCTAGAGAAAACCCATGTGTAAAGGGGCATAAGCAAGGCATAGAATGGCATGTTTATAAGACAGCAGAGAAACCAAAGGGGGAATGCTGGGCCGTGATGCTGGCAAAAGATACAATGGGTTTACACCATGCCTGGCCATATAGAAAATAGGAAAATAGTTATTGGCATATGATATGTACAATACAGATTTAGAAGAGGGAACATTTATAGAAATTGTTGGAAAATAGAATTTGATGTAATGGTTGAGGGGAAAAGATAAAATAATGATGATTCCTGATTTCCAGGCTAGTAGCTAGGTAAATAGTAAAGAATACTTTCCCGTGTAAGTGACAGAAAGTCCAACTAAATGTGATTTGAGCCATGATATAATTAATTATTTTCTTAGTAGGAAACATGGAGTGAGATGGTTTTGGAAGGTAATGTTTGACTTTGGAATCAATGTTGTCATCAGGATCCAAAACACTTGTTTGTTCTTGAAACTATGTTTTGGGTGCAGATAGGTTAGGTATTGTGTATCTGCCTGGTGGACAGACTTCTACATTATTATGAAATGACCTTCTTTAATCTCATTTTTGCCATGTGTCTAGTATTTTATATTTAAGGCATATCTCTACCACACAGCATATAATTGTGTTTTATTATTTTATCAGGTGGCAATATTAATATCTTGTATAGATTAGTTAATTTAGATGTAATGTAATTACATATGTATTTAAGATTTTATCTACTATCTTAATATTTTATTTCTTTTTGACCCACCTGCTTTATGTTCTTGTTCCTCTCTTTTATTGGTTTCTTTCAGAATAATCAAATATTTTAAATGTTCAATTTCCCCTCTTCTAGATGTCTAGTTATATATTCTTTTGCAATTCCTTTGGTAGTTGCACTAGAGATGACAACGTTTATCATTGACCTGTCATAGTCTAAAACTGTGGTCTCCAACCTCCAGCCTCAGAGGGACAGTTTCATCAGTGTCCTGTTAGGAACCGGGCTGCACAGCAGGAGGTGAGCAGCCAGTGAGCCAGGGAAGCTTCATCTGTATTTACAGCCACACCCCATTCCTCACATCACCGCCTGAGTACTGCCTCCTGCCAGATCAGTGGCAGCATCCTATTCTCAGAGGAGCGCGAACCCTACTGTACACTGTGCATGCGAGGGATCTAGGTTGCAGGCTCCTTATGAGAATCTAATGCCTGGTTAGCTGAGGTGGAGCTGAGGCGGTGATGCTAGTGCTGGGGAGCAGCTGCAAATACAGATTATCATTAGCAGAGAGGTTTGACTACACAATAAATGTAATGTGCTTGAATCATCCTGAAACCTTCCCCCCTACCCTGGTCCATGGAAAAATTGTCTCCTGGTGCTAGAAAGGTTGGGGACCAGTGGTCTAAAACACATAATTACCATTTCTTTTTGTTATTTAACATTTACTGTTTATCCCCTCCTGCCTTTTGTGTTATTATTATCACATGTTTTAATTTACATGTATTTTAAATGCCACAGAATATTACTCTTATTATTTTGTATAATCAGGATTTATTTATATTTACCCAAATTTATTTATATTTACTCTTTCTGTTGCTCTTCTTTCCTTTTTATGTTTTGTGTTTCCTTCTGAGGTAATTTTCCTTCTCTTTCCATAACTGTTTTCCTATTTTTTCTTTTTTTTTAGGGAAGATTTGTTGGTGATGAATTATCTTACTTTATGTTGGCCTTAAAATGTCTTGGTTTAACTTTTAGTTTAGAAGGATGCAATTCTAAGTTGTTAGTACTTTCATTCAGCACTGAAGATGTCATTCCATTGTTTCCTGGTTTTTATTGTTTCAGTTGAGAAATCATCTTGTTTTATTGTTACTTTATTGAAGGTAATAGATCTCATTTTTCTGACTGCTTTTATGAGATTTCCCTTTGTTTTGGCATTCTTTCTACAATGTGCCTAGGTGTGGTTTAAGTTTATATTTATGTTGACCTCTCTTTCAGTTCACTAATCCTGTCTTCTGCTATGTCCTGCTATGCCTGTTTGGTGTTCAACCCATATAATGAAGTCTTAATTTCAAATTTTATTTGTTTCAGTTCTAAAATTTACATTTGTTTCTTTCATATAGACTCTAATTCTCTGGTAATGTTAATGGACTTTTATCTATCTTCTGCATTTTTTCACCTATTACATGAATCATATACCATGATTATATTAAAGTTCTTTTCAGTGAACGACAATGTTTAAATTATCTGTGGGTCTTGTGTGTGTGTGTGTGTGCATGGACACACACATGCACATGCATACACATGTATGTGTTTTCCTCTTGGTTTTAAGTCATGTGGTCTTATCTTTTGTCAGGCAGTTAGAGTGGCAACTGATTGCCTCCCTTAATCCAGTTAGAGACAGAGCTAAATCAAGTTTGACTATCTTTGGTTCATCCTGGCCCTCCAAGGTTTTCAACTGAAATCCTGCTCTATTCTTTAAGATCCTTCCTTTTGGTGCATACTGTATTCTAATATTTGTCTCCTGAAACTATTCAACATACTACTACTCTTTTCAGAAGTTTTCTGGTTACTTCTTTAGCCTCTTTCCCAACCCAGTCCCAGAATTCAGCAAGTGTTCTTAAGGAAAAACGAGTTGCATGCTAAATTCTACTCCACCACCTCACCCCATGTCTCAGCCAAAAACTCTGCCAGTTTCTTTATTCCCTAGCAGCAGTTGGTACAAATCCCAGAATCTAAACCTCTTGCCCAAGCTCAGAATCACTAAATGCCGCCAGAATAAAAATGGTTGCAGAATTCAACTCACCTCTTTGAGATCTTCTCTCCAGATCTTTAACACATACAGCTCTCATAGCTTCAGCAGCTATCCAATGCCTTTAAACAGATGATTGCTGCATTTCCCTGACATTTGTAGCTGTCATAAGTGGGAACACAGGTCTGATGCAAGCTATTCCAGCCATCCCAAAGTGGAAGTCCTTCCAGGCCCTTTACGTACTTCTGCTTTGTCTGTCTCAGGGTGAGAGCTTTCTACCCTGTGCTTTTTGTTGCCTGGTTGCAACTTGAGATAACTACTTATGCCAGTATCCCATTATGATAGAATGGAATACATAGAAAAGAATCCTTTTTTTACTTTCAGAAACCTCCAAACATGCTTTTCTGCATATCTCAAATATAAGAACTAAGTCACATGTTCCTACTTCTGGTTATGAGGGGGATCTAGAAAAGCGTCTCAAAAAGGGAAACGAAATTGTCACTGTTGATTTACATCAATTGTGGTTTATTTCCAGGAATGAGTGTTTTGCCACCCCATTCTAGATCAAGGTTCTATTCTTAGAGAAGAAGGGTTATATGGAATGACCTTTGGGTGAACAGTCACATTCTATTTCACTGTAGTTAAAAGAGATGAGACTATAGACAAAGGAATATACTAGGTAGTCAGCACTGGATTCCTTGAATAAATAAATAATGTATGAATGACAAGATATTCATTTTGGATTGGATGAATGGGGAGCAACAGATAAATATGCCCAATGAGTCTTTCCATTTTTTTTTAACTGAGTTACATGTCTACTTGTGTGCCCTACAAGATTCAATAAAGGCAGAGATTATGTGACATCATTTTGTAGCTAATATGTTGTCACCTAAAAAGTGTTCGGTTGTCATTTGTTGAAAGGAACTTTAAAGATTAGAGAGAGACTATGCAAAGATAGTTCTAGAGGGGAGTGCAACAGTATGGCATGGGTGTATGTGTGTGTGTGTGTGTGTGTGTGTGTGTGTGTGTACGTATGTAGGTATGTATATGTGTGTGATGGGAATGGGCAGTTGTGAGGACTGTGTGAGTGTGGCGCATGTAAGGGCTGGGCAGTGTGTAATACCCTAGCTCTGCTGGAAAGTCCATGTTGGTAATAAATGAGGAACTATCTACCAAGGCTGAGCTTTTAAGAGCTTTTATACAAATAGGATATGGAATGACTTCACTGGGCATAAAAGGAAACCAAAGAATAATAAATGAGCCAGCCCAAGGTCATAGTACCTAAGATAGAATCTATTACATAGCCCAGATAGCCACCCCAACTCTCCAACCCTCCGTTAAAATGAAATCCTTCTGATGAATTTTAGGGAGTTTTGAAAGACATTCTTTGACCTAGACACCAGAGAAGTTATACACAGCTGAGCTCCACTTAATTGCATAATGAATGAATCAACTCCTTTAAATCACTTTACAAAATCCCATACACTATAACATTTCCTTCCTTGTTACCAATACCTGTTAAAT